AAATTTAAAATTATTTCCATGACGCCGCAAAATAGCTCCGTCGGTACCTCGGGTTATACATATTGACAGTAAGGATGTTCGATATGATCCTATATTTAGAAGTATCAATACATTTCACTAGTATCGTCATCTTTCGATCCGGACTGTGTCAGAAAGAGTGACTGCCATTTGGCTGCGACATTACCCTGCCAAATCAGACATATCTTTCATCATTTTCAAAGAAATTGTACAAAATCTTCAAATTTGTGAAGTTAGCGAGTTTCACTTTATACGTTGTTACCAGACATGCCCAAATCATCATCATCAGTTGCTGTCGTGACATTCATCCCAACCACTGCATCCCCACGGCAAGGCGACCTGTATGTTAAATTTGTATTGAGAGGGCAGCGGGTTATGCTATAAATCATATGTCACAGTTTTTGTGCACTGATTGCAACGGTTAGATGATACCAAAAATATTTTCATAAATAGGAGATCTTTCCCATTCCGGATCGAACATGATACCTAGTAAATTTACATGAAAAATCCTCTGCATGTAGGTATATAAGAGCTTTCTTATATTTGTTTATCAATTTGATGATACAACACATCTGCTAAAAATGATCATAATCAGGATAGTAAACTATGACGAAGGTCGACTGTATGTAAGAATTTTCATTTCATTTGCAATTTGACGACAGACCATGACGGTGTTCACATTTTTCAAATATTCTTCAGGAAGTGTTACCAGTCTAGCTCCAACTATCATTAGTACTATGTTTGTATTCCTACTTCAAATTAAAAACCAGCAAATGTAAAAGGTTCATGTCGCACCCTTCTCCACGGGACGTGATCATCGTTAGACTTGGCAACCCTGCAAGTGACAGATAGATAACCCCACCAGTGAAAAAGGCAATGAAACAATAAACATTTATAGTTTTTATGATTTTTGGACTTAAAAGACAATATTTCTGAGACATTTTTCATAATTTTTTGTCTATGTCCATAGTAATTGCATTATGGAGATGTGGGATTGACACGTCTTATACATATTATCTGTGTTATAGGATCGAGAGGACAATGTTTCTATTACTTTGAAGAAATTCATTAACCCGTAAATTAATAAATGATTACTATTATGATGTAAAGGAAGATGAGGAATTGGATGAAATGTATTTCATATTCTATTTTCTTGCAAAATACAGACAAATCCACACTATTCAACAGGTATGTAATGATAACAGTATATTGAACTTAAATTCGAGATTACCATGTATTAACAAACGTCCAAATCTGCTGCCAAATTTAATAGCCAGAAGATCGACCTATTATTTGCCGCATTCCCATTGGCTTTGGGGATAACTAATTGTCAAATGTACACCTATAACATAAATCAAAATACATGAAAGTTGACCTGTTTTCTCTGTACAAACTCATCATGTTGGAATCAAAAAGTGGTCTTGTTTATAACACAGTCGAATTTTCACGATTTTATTCAATATTTTAATAGAAATCACTGATATTCTGAGACCTTTGACAGCTTCTGTCAAATTGCATTTCGATAAGGTATTTTCCCATTGGTCCATAATATTAATGTTGGTGAAATCGACCTTTAGTGCAGTAGTAAGAGGCTTTGTGTTATAGTTGCTTTTGACGTTAAGAATTTCTTTTACATGGCACAACAGCAGAAAATCGTCGAATCTCTCGAGAAGATAGACACCCCTACCTATATATTGAACATGCTAAAGAGCAATTTCACGAGAGGGCAGTGATGGTAGGGCAAAAGATGATGAAAGTAACCATGGGAGTGCCGTACTGCCGCCGTAAACCAGAAGATAGTAGCGATGAGAACTTGTTGTAACCCTTCTCGAATTGTACCGTTTTAAGGGAAAAGAATGCTCTTGGTTTGTACCTGGTTAAAATTGATAATATTGTAACAAGAATAATTAGTACTACAGCTCTGTTGGGAATCGTGACTCTCATTCGATGCGAGACTGACACCGAGTGGTACTACGAGCGACATCTGTTAAGAACCGCGCCAGGGACTTCGAGATCGACGCGAAGTGACCTCGAGGATTCTGGACTGACGCTATGTGGCTCATCGGAACTTTCTCAAACTAACGAGTGCATGCGATGCGGAATATATAAGTCGACGGCCGGGTGAGGGAAGCAGGGTGGAGTTGAGTGAATGGCTTGACATAATAATCCGTAAATAAGTAGTCAGACATAAATTGTGGCGTACATAAATGTTCTAGCTATTAAAAGTTAGTGGTGTTGTGTTTTAAATAAATTAGTGCATTTTTTCTTGTGCAATCCAGTGTTTTTAATCCTCACCCAAAAGAATCCAGAAAAACGCTATAACATTTTCTAAAGGATTCACTGAATTTACCAAAGATGCCTACTTATAAACAAAAAAAGCATATGCTGTTACGTCAGAATTGTCTGAATTGCTGTTTATTTAATTGATAACACATTAAGTACTACGCGATGTTTCTAATCGCACGTTCGGCGTATGTATATATCTTTAGCATACGAAACCTATAAAAAAGCTTTACAGTTTTTTCACAAATATACTAAATGATCGACGAAGAGTAATTAAAAATATTATGAGTTCGGTGTGATTATGTGTATCTCCTACAGTACCTGCTATCGCTATTGCTTTGGTTATAAATCAAAGCACAGTATCTGTATGGCTTCTAAGCAAGAATACAGTAAGTACGGGGCATTTACTGTGTTTAAATTTATTGATGTACAGATGCTGTATTCTAATTTAAGATGATAGTCAAAATGCTAGATACTGTAACAGAAAAGTTTAGATTTTCGGTATTTATCATGATATATCCTGTATTTTATCATCGAATAAGCTTCCTCTACGTACCTTTCATAGTATAATGTCGATATCTCATTTTCGCATTTTTGCACCTACTGCGTTCTGGCTTATGACGGCAGCGCAGGGCTCCGTCCTAGGGTCGTTGCTGTGGAACGTGTTCTACGATGGGGTTCTTCGGTTACAGATGCTGCCGGGAATTCGCTTGAAGGACTCTTAGCATAGGGAATCACGAGAAATACTATATGGATGCAAGAAAATGGCTTGAGGTTGGCTCCTGATAAGACGAACGTAGGTGTACTTTCCGGCAGACAGAACCTAACTTCATTAGCTGTAAGAGTTAATAATTCCTAGATTCGGAGCCAAAATGCAATTAAGTATCTGGGTGTGTGGCTTGAAAAAGATCTGAAAATGATTAAGCATATAAGGCGCATCACTGACAGGGTAAATAAGGTCATAGCATATCTCTCTAAAAAAATTGAGAAGATGCAACAGCCGTCACAAGAAGCAATTACAACTTACGCTGATATAGTTAAAGTTTCAGGGTCTTCAGCCATTAATTCGCCTACATCAGTGGTAAAATATAAGCAGCAATGCTTACCATTGCAAACACGAACAGCAAAAAAACGATCACCAGTATTAAAACCCACAAATACAGTCATTGTTAAGACTAATAACCAACAAGAGTGTAATAACACAAAGAAAGGCATCGCAAAATTTGTGAATCCTACCAGTTTGAAAATTGCAATTGAAAAAGTTTATGATTTGAAGGATGGTGGGGTGAAAATCCAATGTAAAACAAAAGATGATATTTACATAAGGAAGTAAAATCAAAAATGCCAGAAACATATACAGTGGAAACTCCAGAAATAAGTAAAAAACGACAAATAAATATTATTGGATTTTGTCAAGCATATGCAGCAGACGAGCTAATAAATACTATAAAATCACAAACTGAATCTTTTCAAGAAAATTCACATATGAGAGTAATCAGAGAGTCAAGAAAATGAAAACTAAATATCAAGCAATTTTAGAAGTGTATGGCTGTGACCATTAAGTGTGTTATGAATGATGTTTATCGACATGTCTCTTTGGTCTGTTTTCGAGTACTTCAATGTTTTGCGATGCTATCAATGTACCGGGTTTAACCACAAGCTAAATACTGCAAAAAATCAGGAAGATGTATTACTTGTGGATTAGAAGGACATTTAGCAGAAAACTCTAGTACCATTGAAGTGTAAAAATGCTGCCCAAATTGTGAAAGTGCAAACAAGGATTTTAATCTAGGATTATCTTTTTATCATGGACCATTTGACAAAAATTGTAAAGTATATAAAAGGGAAGTTGAGCGTGCGTCGGAAAAACTTAGTTATACAAATGAATACTCAGGCCAGATTTGCAAAATGTGGCTAAATCTGTAAGTAGTGAATATAACTCAGTATACCATTTGAACATACAAGATGTCCTGAATAATATAGATGACTGTCAACAGTTTTTGAGATGGAGAAAACCACTGGTATTATGTCTTACCGAAACACATACTGGATGTGTAGTGATTTATGTTTACCACAAAATACAGATTAAATTATTCGATTGTACCACTTTAGACTATGCATATTGGTATGCACATATACAGTTCAAATTATTGGGGTAACGTTATGATCTTTGTACTTTTTACCGTTCACCAAACAGTGATGCGGATATACTTTTAATGTCTTTTGAAGAAAAATGCGAATATGAAGCTCCTCACGAAAATCACGAATGAAATTAAGGAGTTCAAAGCGCGTCACCGTCAACGAAGGGCCGAGTCATGGCGAGCCCGCGATTCAAATAAACAATTTTACTGTTTTTATTAAAACGTTTAATTGTTTAAGTGTACTATTTCCAAATAAACTAATTTATCTAAACTAAATAAACAGTTTAATTAAACAAGTATATGGTTTGCTATTTTCAAGCAAATTACTTTGATAGTATATTACTTTCAATTAAACTGGTTCCAGAAAATTAAGTTCATTTAAACCAAATAAATTAGCTACTTGAAGTAATTAAATAAGTTATTGCAAGTAATGAAAATTTTCCAGAACAGGTGGTGAATTGACGATGTATTCTCAATATATGCTGTCGAAATAAAAATGTTGGAAAATACACCATTCCATTAACCTAATCCTCTATTGATATACGATTTCCATTCCAGCTATACCAAGGCCTGCCTTGTCGCGTCTGTGATCTTCATACTCGATAAGAAGACTGAAGTGATATCTGCTCCCCATGCTCTCGTCTACTTCGGCATTGTCATATTCTTCGTCTACTTTAAGATGTCTTCCATTATCCTGGGTATCCATGACCCTTTTGTACCTTTCGAAAATCTGATGTGCGCCTTGTTCTTTGGTGGAATCTGGGATAGTCTTGCAAAACTATTTGGAAGAGGACAGTTGAAAGAAGGAGAAGTCAAGGATTCAAAAAAGACAAATTGATTTGATGCCAACAGGTAAATTTCAATAGTAGTCAGCATTTTGTTTCGTGTTAGTTTGGATTGGGTTTGCATGTAAACTATAGAGATAGTCTGACTTATCGCTGCAATGCTGTCCACAAATATGAGTAGATTGATATATTTAATGAATGATTGCAACTTACATGTTAAATCGACAATACAGGATGTCCCAGGATAAGTAGCTTATATCTCAGATGCATATACAAGGTGTCCTCAAAGTTGGATTTACAGACCGTATAGGTCAGAAAATAAGAAGCATGTTATACCAAAGCTTTAAGATATTCGAGACTATGCGAGTCAGTATTTAAATCCGGCGTCGCGTGGTGTCTAGGTTAAGCTAGTTAATAAACAAACCGCATTTGAAAAACCGAAATTGGCACAATCCTAAAGCAATAACGTAGTTATGGATTTGATAATACCATCTTCAAGATCCTATTGATACTCCGCGGATGTACTCAGGTAGTAGTCGGCCTCGATGTTTCGTTCCATCAGAGCAGCATATGTTTGCTTATATTATGTAACACCCGTCAGGTTGAAGACATTTGAAGACCTAGACAGCCCCAAATGTTGAAAATTTAGGAAGAGGTAAATAAACTCGTGTTTTTGAATCAATCAGCGACAACTTCAATCAGTGTTTACAAACAAAACATGTGACAGGTCAGTGCTTGAAATTCATTACCAAATGAATGATGAGTGTGTTCTTTCAATTTATTTTTTACGTGTTCGGTGTTGTTTTGCTGCAACATAGCTTTGTTATTGCAAACGTAGGAGTAGTTGACTCTGTAAAGGAAACTTCGAACGTTCACATAGTATAAAAAATGCCACCTGTTTCTATAAAAACTGTCTTATCGTTATTATTAATGGACAAAAGCGATTTTTTAGAATATCTGAATCTGAGGAAATGTGCTTCTTATTTACCACCGATGAAATGGGCCGTTTTTACAGGATTTACAGTTTCATCAATTACGATGCTGGATCCGGTGGAAATATAGTGGTTCTGATAACACATTCTCAACTAGCGACCCAAAAAACTCTAGGTAATGGATTTTTAAGGATTATCTGCTGTATACGTCGACGTAACTATATAGTATTGAAACAAAACTGAAAAAAAACGGCTCATTTTCTCAAAATGAAACAAGAATAAATGAGATAGCGGAAAACGCCATTTATCACCAGAATCGACCACCGCGGAGAGCGCATGGTTGAAGTTTCTGGCTTAAAGATATGGTCTGCTTGCCATTGGACAAACTAAACATGATGCTTTCGTCCCTCCGACCAAAGGGCAACCAAATATGGCTTCTTGGCTACTCACAGGCATGGTTTAGGCTTGGCTTCTTGTTTATGCATCATGCTTACTTTATTCAATGACAAGTAGACCACATTCACTATACAGCCAGAATCGACAGCCGTGTAGAGGTTATATGGTGACTGGTCTATTACGTGAAATGAGATCACAGTTCTAACAAATAGCAGCTACGCACTCTCCGCAATAGTCGATTCTGGTGATAGATGGCGCTTTGCGCTGTCTTATTTCGATAGACCATACCACCGAGATACAGGATAGATGCGATGCTTCTGTTCGTTGTCCCAGATACCAAGCCTAGACCATGCTAATAAGTACCCAAAAAGCATGGAACAGCTGTCTGTGGTTGGCTGTGTTTTGTTCGGATGGACGAAATCATCATGTCTACTTTAAACAAGAATATTTTTTCTAGTTTAAGGGTCTGGTCTTTCAAACATGTACTTTTTTTATACATTAATTCATCATCACATTAAGGTTGAAAAATATTAGCAGTATTGAGTTACGCCCGTCCATCCCTGGCAATCAAAATGAGTTAATTGTTATCCACGGAAACTATCATGTAAATCCTCAATTGGTTACAATGCTTTTAGAATTTTGTTCGATATTATAGTATGGTATTCTGGTTACTTTGGTGTTTATTTGAAAACTTCCCACCAGGGACGGACATTTCCAAAAACATGTGGGATATCATGGCAGCTTTCGATGATGCGTTCACGAAGTTCATCCAAACTTTCATCTTGGGGAGTAAACACAATAGATTTCAAATGGCCCCATAGAAAAAAGTCTAATGGCGTCAAATTATTCCATAGGCCCGCTTCGCCTTATCCATTTATGTGGAAACTCGTCGTCTGGCCATAGCGACGTCTTGCTAGAAATATATTTCAGCCTCATCAAGTATAGGGTTTCCATCCTCTTCGATTTGGTTTTCAATGGTATCTTTGATAAGCGGATTGATGGTATTTTCCAATATATCCAAATAAATGTCTCCATTCAAATTTCCATTAACAAACAATGGCCCAATCACCTTGTTTCCTAAATTGCTTCCCATACATTAATTTTTTTGAGAGTACTGGGTATGCCTTTCTACAAAAGCATAATGATTTTCATTAATCCAGTAAGTGCAGTTATGCGTATTAACAAATCCATTTAGATAAAATGTGAATTCATCACTGAGGCAGATATCCTTTACATGAATGGTATTATCATTAATCGCTGCAGTTATTTGTTAACAAAACTCAACTCGCCTATCGAACTCATCTGCGGTTAACTCTCGCAATATTTTCATTTCGAATGGATGGAGTTTATGGAGTTTAGTAACTGTGTAGTGTACAGTTACCAGTCGCAGCAACAATTCTGCCTAATGGGCATTAGAATTTATTCCAAAATGACCCAAAACATCAACTTGAGCGGCTTCATCCAAAACTCCACCATGATCACGTTTTTTATTTGCAACAGTTTGAGTCCAAAATATACTTATGCGAAGTTATCTTCCCCGGATGTTTGGCGTTAAACGTGACGGCAGTTTGCACATTGATTTTGGGCACCATAAATTAGAACCATTTCCACTCTTTCGGCTAGTGTATAAACCATTTTGGAAGTAAAATCTGAATGAATGAATTAATATTTACTATCCCAAGATTGTCTCAAAGGTAACTGACAGCAAATTAATGACTTTCTTCCCCTTAGCAACAATTTACTAAACAGGTATAACAATGAATACAGATCGCCCAGGATATGTGTTGATGAAAACAAAGGGGAAAATAATTCGGGTTGCTATTTGGTTGTTGCCACGTCTAATCTTCCAAATGTTGGTAGTTTCAAATTATAAACGAATTGTAGATTTGGCAGACCCTAATGGGCAACATTTTGAAAACTTATTGAGATATAAAGAGATATTTTTGTGTATTTTTGTTATCTATCTGAACAAATTAACATAAATAAAGGTTTTTCTAATTTTCTCGAAAACGAATCTACCGATTCAAAAAAATCAAACGTCAAAGTAAAAGACTACGAAGGACCTTTTAAACAAGCTATTACTCGAAGTAGTCTTTGGTTAAAAAGTTGTCCCCCTTGACACATTTTTTGACGTGTCTCGGTGTTTGTCTTTTAATCAGTGGTTTTCGTTAATTTCGCGGTGGGAAGTTTTCAAATGAGATGTATGTCATCCATTTCTTATGCTTACATGTTTTCATGCTGATGTTGTCTAACTCTAATACCACAGCTTATATAACAATCAGCTATGAAACTCTCCAATCAGTGCCAAAAATGGCAGTCGTTTCGGTGGAAAAAATCGCATGTAAACTCTCCTAGACAACGATGAAAGAGGTTCTAGTGCTCAGCAGCAGCCGATGATGCTACGCAACCTACTAGCGGCCGCATATATTCTGTGCAATCAGAAAAAATATAATACTCCGATACGGTCTAGTTTAGTTTGTACCAACCAAAACTAAGAAGGAATATAGACTATTTATTTATGAGAAAGCTTTAAAATAAATTTGTATTGTTGGATGTATTCACAATAAACAGAAAAATATTTACTTTTGCCATGCATTCTTTGAGGCCGCGATATTCTTAATCCATTGCATTTTCAATGTAAACACTGTTAAAAACACCAGGCAAACACAACATCCACTGAATCACAAAAAAAACGAGAGCAGACCAACAGCAAAGTGACCACCAACGCAATCAAACCTGACACTTCTGACTAATCCCCTAGAACATTGCTACATATAGGGCGAGTTTTAAATGTGTAAGCGGCCAGTAGTATATGTCTTGTGAAGCCGAGTAGTCTCTTGTGTAACTGAAGGCGCGAAAGAAAGAAAGTTGGTTGAGTAGCACGATCGCATCTGGATGATTATGCGTATTGGTCTGTATGTATATAAAATTAGTGATATTTGCTATGTGAGAAAATTATTACTGTATATGCTGCCAATGAAGTACCTGTATATCTATTAGATGTACCCGATGGGTTATTTATATGACAAGACAAGTTATGTTCAAAGTTATAAATTATGATTTTTCCCGTTTTTTTTTTGTGTTTTCAAAAACTTTTAGGAGCATTACGGATATCGCCACCGCGCCTACGTTGTGTGCAATTAAGCCACATCACAGAAAAATTAGGAATGACGCATCACACATCAAACATTTTCGCAATGCCTCACATCTAGGCGCTGATTTGTATTTTCTCTTGACATCGCAAAATAAATTTCTATAAAATCTAAATGACTGGAAATAGAAAATAATGTAGTACCTTTTCACTTCCATAAATATTCCGGTATGTAGCATATTTTCTCACCTATTCCTTCACCAATCAGGCATTTTCTTATCTCTCTCATTTTTGAAATTCAGCAAATATGCATAAGTAATTTACAGGATGAATAAGAAAAAGTGGATGCGCAACTAATTTCTAGTTTTGAATCCCAAGTAAGTGTATTTGAGACAGGAAATCAATAGATATATATATATATATATATATATATCTACACAAATCCTTACTATAGTTGTAGTCACCATTCTTGGCGGTTACATCATCAACGCCATATGAAATAAATAAACAGATCTAGTCTCCGTACCATGGGCGGATCTTGAGTTTAGAGGTCGTGATATGTTGTCCTCTACTTCTCATAATATCGTAGAAAGTATTCCTAATTTCTGTTTTAACGACGTCACTTACATCATCG